GCTGTGTGAGTGGGGCACGGGAGGGGGAGAGGGGGGTGCTGCTCCCAGCCGGGAAGGGGCTCCCCGAATTCCACAGGGAATCACCCCCTGCGTTCCGTGTGCCCCCCCCACCCCAGGCCAGCGCCCGGCCGCCATCGTGTCACCGGTGGCGGGGACGACGCGGGACGTGGTGGAGGTGGCCCTGGACATCGGGGGGTACCCCCTGGTGCTGAGCGACACGGCCGGGCTGCGCGAGACCACCGACCTGGTGGAGCGGGAGGGGGTCGCCCGCGCGCGGGACCGGTGAGGCTGGGAGGGGGGGCTGCACTGGGGGTCACCAACCACCATGGGCTGGCTGGGAGGGGGCGGTTTGTGACCCCCTGCCCTACCCTGTGTGCCTCCCCCAGGCTGTGCCAGGCCGACCTGGTGCTGGCTGTGCTGGATGCCAGCGCGGTGCCCCCCGAGCCGGCGGGGCTGGGGGCTGCGCTGGGGGCCCTGCAGCCCCCCCCTGGCACCCCCTGCGTCCTGGTGCTCAACAAAGCCGACCTGCTGCGGGGGGACGGGGGTCCCCTGTGCCACACCTGCACCCAGGGACCCCCCCTGCCCCCCACCACCCTCCTCTCCTGCAAGACGGGCGAGGGGCTCGACCGCCTGCTGGAGCTGCTGGCGCGGGAGCTGGCACAGCTGTGAGTGCAGGGAGCGGGCACGGCGGGCACACCAACCCCGTCCCGGCTCCGGGGTGCTCCAGCCTGGCTTCTCGCCCTCTCCCAGGTGCGGGGACCCCCTGTGTGGCTCCCCCAGCCTGACCCAGAGCCGGCACAGCCGGCACCTGGGGGGCTGCGCGGCGGCGCTGGCGCGGTTCGGGCGGGAGCGCCCGCGGGACCTGGCGCTGGCGGCCGAGCAGCTGCGGCTGGCGCGGCGGGAGCTGGGCCGGATCACCGGCCACGTGGGCGCCGAGGACGTCCTGGACATCATCTTCAGGGATTTCTGCGTGGGGAAGTGAGGGATGCACCCGCGGGTCCCCCCTCGCTGCGCCGGGGACCGCGGGAAGGGAGTGCCGGGCTCTCCGTGCCGGGATTAAACCGTGGTGCCTTCGGTGGCTCTGGTGTCTGTCCCCTCCCTCGTTCCCAGGCTGGGCTCCTGTGTTTTCCTGGCTCGGGGGGAGCGTGTCCCAAGCCCCAGACATGGGAAAAAACCACTGGGAGAGGCCCTGTTTCCTGGCCAGGAGGACAAACAAGGAGCTGGAGTGGCTGGAAGGGAAAAGCCACCCCGGGCATTGCCCTTAGGGTGTCCCCCTCCCCACCATGGCATGTGAGGGGCTCAGTGCCCTGGCGCGTCCATCCCTGTTCCCAAAGTGTGGTCCCAGCCCCAGGGATGCAGCGGGGGGTGCTTGGGACCCCCGGGATACAGCCCCAAGCCATGGGATAAAGGCCAAGCCATGGGAGACCTGTGGTCACCCCCAGCTCTTGCACCCACGTGGCAGCTGTGGGCTCTGCCACCCCAAAGGTGGGTGCTCCGTGGGGACCCCTCACTCTCCCACCCCCTCAGCTGGGGCTCCCAGGCTCTGGAAGCGTCTGGGGCTCCCAGATTATTTATAGAAAACTCCAGGAAATCCTCTGGCAGTGAGAGGGTCCCCCTGGACCCCTGGTCGAGCTGTGTGGGGGCAGTTGGGACAGCGAGGGATCACCTCTGTGACCCTGGTCCCACCCCAACCTGGCACTGGCACTTCCAAGGGCTGGCCAGGGATGGGGTCACCCGGTGGCATCCCCATCCCGAGGGTGGGGAGTGCAGCAGGAGCACGTGGCTGCCGTTATCCCAGGATGGATGTGGCCTGGGGGGACCCAGGTGGGACTTGGGGGACACGGATGTGACCCGGGGATGGGAGAGGGGGTCGGGAAGGGGCTGGGGGCAGAGAGGGAGCTCTACGTGCCGCCGAGGCGCTGGCAGGGAATGCCTGGCGTGCGGGCAGCCCGGCAAGGCAGGAAAAGCTCTTTCCACAGGAAGGAGCGGGGAGCGCGGCCGTAAATCCCGGAGTGACGGGCGGTGATTAATCACCGCGCCCGCAGGGGGCTCGGCGGCCAAGGACGTCCCGCTCCCTCGTCCTCCAGCACTTCCCACCCCAGGGGGACCCCGCGCGAAGCCGGGACTGGATGTTCTCCCTCCCCTTCCCGGCCGTGGCCTCTGCGCCCTCCACGGAGAATCCAACCACACGTGCGGCGAGTTGTGCCGGTGCTCAGGGCCGGCGGAATTCCAGCCAAGCGCAGGGATACATGTGCGGAGGGGGGGGACGGGACACACAGGGGGAGCTCGGGGAGTAGGGGGACAAGGGGAGGGTGGTCCTGGCTGCTGGCTCCCGGTCGGGGTTTGCCATCCGTGCTGTGGGAAGCACCTCCTGGGCTTGTCCTGGAGCACCTCGTCGGAGCGTCCCACGCGCTGCTCGGCCCTTTACCCTCTGGAGGGGGGGCCTGGCACGGCCACCCTGAAGAACTCCGGGTGAGGGGGGGCCTGGTACAGGCCCCCCCTCACCCGGAGTTCTTCAGGGTGGCCGTGTACTGCTCCACCATCTTCAGCATCCTCTGGATCTCCTCCACGTTCGCCTTGCCTGGAGGGGTGGGGTGGGGTGGGGCTGAGCCAGGCCGGGCACCTGGGGGGCTCCCAGCCCCGCAGACAGAGCCCTCCTAAGGCCGAAGACTCACCTATGTTGCCGAAAACCCCCTGGTTCTTCAGGTAGTCAGCATAGTAGCCCGTGCTGGGGAAGGGCCCCGAGCGGCCGGTGCCCCCTGGCACCCGTGGGCCGGACACGTCGAAGAAGGGGTTCATCTGCAGGGGACAGGGGGGACACCATCAGGGGGGCACTGATCAGCACCTGGCACCGCTCAGGGCCAGGCTCCACTCGTTGGGAAAATCCCCATCCAAGGAAAACCCGGGGTTCAGGTCAAAAACCACATGCAAAGGCGCTTTTGCAGAGCCGCCCGTGCCTGACCCAACAGTGCCACCCCAGCGCCAGCTCCTGCCCATTCCTGTGTGTCCCCAGGTCCCCCGTGTCCCCCTGCGCCCCCTCACACCCCCAGACCCCTCACCTTGGTGCCCATGCAGATGCTGAGCTGCTCCCGCAGGGACTCCGCCTGCGCCACCACCGCCTTCCTCTTCTCCTCCAGCTCCTTGGCCTGCTGCTCCTTGTCCCCCTGCAGCCTCCTCCTCTCCTCCTGCCCGTCCTTCACCTGCTTCTCCACGGCCTGGAGCCGCTGCCGGAGCTCCTGCAGCTCCCTGGTGAAGCCGACGCGGCACTGCTCGACGCTCACCTCGCAGGCTCTCCTCCTCACGTACATGGTGTCGCGGTCCTGCTGCCAGCGGAACAGCCCCTCCGTGTCGTCCCGGATCTGCTGCAGCTTGCTCTCGGCCTCGCTGCAGCGATAGTGCTTCACCAGCTCCACGAGCCGCTGGAAGTTGTCGTTGATGTCGTTCTTCAGGGATCTGCTCTCGTGTTTCAGCAGCTCCAGCTCGGTCTTGGTGAAATCCCAGCTGGTCCTGTTGGTCCTCAGGTCCTCCTGGCACCTCTCGTGCTCCTGGGTGGTTTTGGCCAGCGTGGTTTGTGTTTTCTGGTAGTTTTCCTCCAGCTCCTTCTTGGATAAGGTGATCTGGTCCAGCTGCCTCTGCAGCTGCAGCTTATCAGCTGTGCAGAGAGCGGGGACAGGGTGGGTGTCCCCCAGTGCCACCCCCCAGCCCAGCCTGGCACCCCTGCCTGGGGCAGGGATGGGGAAGGTCTTCCCCTGCCCAGGTCCCTGAGGGGCGCTGGGCGTTCCCAGGAGGGTAGGAAGGGGATGATTTCGGGGGGGAAGGTGTCTCACCATTACATGTGGTGTTGATGAGGCTGGTGGTAATTTGGCACTCGGCCAACTTCATCTTGATGTACATGAACTCCTGCAGCTGAGAGGGGGGAGGAAGAGGAGGAGGAGGAGGGTCAGAGCATCCCGCAAGGACCACACCCTCTGGCATCACCTCGTGGGTACTGGGAGAGCACCGGGGGCTGGGGAGGATGATGAGGAAAAGGATGGGGGGCAGGTCAGAGCATCCCACAAAGACATCCCTGTGATATCCCCTCACTCCCTCTGGGCACTGGTGAGAGCATTGGGGACTGGGAGAGGGAGAGGAGAGGGACATGGGAGGGGGGTCAGAGTACCAGGATCTCCCTGGCATCACCTCTTGGGTGATGTGAGAGCGCTGGAGGCTTAAGAGGATGACATGATGATGATGATGATGATGATGATGATGATGATGATGATGATGGCTACAAGATCGGAACCCCCATGGCCAGCCCCTCTCCGGGACACCAAGGCTGAGACCCCCAGGACTGGGGGAGGAGGGGGCACATCAGCATCACCACCAGGCTCTGCCCCCCCAGCCCCTCTCCCCCAGCCCTGCCGTAACGAGGTCCCAGCACCCCTGGGTGCCCTGCCCTGCCCTGCCCTGCCCTGCCCTCACCTGGGGGAGGTTGTTGGGGGTCTGGGTGCTGTTGCACTTGTCCAGCTCCCGCTGGACCTTGGAGACGAGGCCCTGCAGCTTGTCCTTGTCCTTGAGGGTGGCGTTGAGGGCGCGGGTGAGGTTCATGTTCCTGGTGCCCAGGGTGATGATCTTGTTGTAGCGGTCCTGCAGCTGCTCCTCCAGCAGCCGGAGGTGGGTGTCGGTGCCCGCCTGCGCATTGCCGTACACCATGAACAGCACCAGCCCCAGGATGATGAGGAACTGGATGAGGGAGGTGAAGAGGAAGATGTACTTCATGTAAAACCCGCAGTCCCGCTTGGGCATCGCCTCCTTGGCCTCCAGACCGAACTTGGCCATGGCGAAGCTGCTCTTCTCCATCCCGCCGGCGCTGTGAGGGCCCCACCCCGCGGGACCCCCTTTGAGCAGGGCTGTGGGGGGGCGGGGCCAGCCCCCGATGCCGTGTTTATATCCCTGGATTTAATGTTTCCTTCTGCTGGGCTCCTTCCTGCCGTGCCGGATGCCTCGGACCCACCGGGTTATCACGGTGCAGCTTCTGTTGGCGGCGGGACTATTGTTCCTGGATGGAAGGGGGGAAGGCTGGGACCCTCCTCCCCCGCCTTGTGGTGGTGCCCAGAGCTCTCCCAGGAGTGTCTCCCATCCCAAAATACCCCCTCCTCCCCTGTCCAGTGCTGGGAATTCCAGGGAATGAGTCCCCAGGGCTCTGGGGGTGCCAGCCCCCCACCACGGCCATTGTCACTCTGTCCCCATCCCATGGGAGCTGCTGGGGAGGGTCCGGCTGTGCCCGGGACCCCCCCATCCCTGCAGGATGCCCAGCCCGGCGCGGGGGGGCTGCAGGGGGGGCCGAGGTGTGGGGCCCCGCCGGGCGCTGACCCCGAGCCGTGGGCTGTTTCCTGCCCTCTGGCTGCGCCGCGCTCCCTGGGGACCGGGAAGTGTCTGCGATGGCCGGGATGGTGTCGCTCCCGAATCCATTCTCAGCTACTGCCGTTTCCTTCCTGAGCTGCAAATAACGGTGAGTCACCCCCGGGCCCCCCCGGCCCCCCCAGCCCGGCCGTGGGGACGCTGCTGGACCCCTGGCCTGGCCTGATCGGGACCCCTTGGGCCTGTGGCCGTGCCGGTGGGATGATCCCTCTGAGAGCCCATTCCAAGGGCTCCCTGAAGCCTCCCGGGGTCACCAGGGATCCCTGTTGGGATCCAGCCCCCCGAGACCCCACCTCTGTCCCATTCCCCAGCCATCCCCCCACTGTAATCAGTTCTTCCCATGCCAGTGGTTGGGCCATGGGAATGCTGTTCCCAGCTCCCCTTCCCATCCTAAAGCTCTGCAGGGCTGGGGGGCTCCACTCCGGGACCACTGGATTTGGGGTGTGGGAATGGGGCTTGTCCCCCCATCCCACCCCATCCCAGGGAGCCCCATCCCAGCTGGAAGTGCCTCTCCGGGACACTTTCACCTGGGAAGTCACTGCCAGCCCCTTCTCCATCCCCCCCAGGGCTGGGGCAGTGGGGGGCACAGGGGATCCCCCCATGGGCGGTGGGAAGGGGGCGGATGCCTGCCTGCCCTTTGCACAGGATACACTGGCAGGAAAATCCAGCTTTCCTGGAAACCTTCAAAGTGGATCCGAGGATGCTGGGAAGTGACAGCAAAGCAGCAGCCGCAGCTCCTGGTCCCCATCCTCCCAGTCCCTGCCTTGGCTCTGTGTCCCCCTGGGCACCCTGGGGTGTTTTGGGGTCCCTGGCAGAGCCGGGTCCTGCCCTGGCAGCCACTGGGCAGGCAGTGGGAGAGGCTGGAGAAAGCCCTGGAGTGGGGAGTCCCGTCTGGGGGGAACTGTTGGGTTTGGGGGCAGATGGTTGGATTTAGGGCGCCAGCTGGGCGTGGGGGGGACAGTTGGGCTCATGGGAATAGGGATACAGAGGGGCTGGTGGCACAGGGAGACATCCTGGAGAGCAGCACAGCCTTTATTGCCCAAACACCTTCCCAGTTTCTGGAGCGTTAATGCCCAGAGCTGATTCCAGAGCAGCTCCGAGAGGCCAGTGGGGAAACTGTCCCCTGGATGAGCTAAAATTGCCCAAGGGCTGGAGAAGTGACCCCTCTGTCCTGCTGTCAGGCTGCAGAGCTGGGACTGGGGCACAGCAGGATGGGGACACCCAGAGGCATCGGGACAGGGAACAGGGTCGGGACGTGGTGGGAGTGGGACACAGAGCAGGATAGGGACACAGAGCAGGATCAGAGACACAGAGCAGGATAGGGACACAGAGCAGGATCGGGACACGGTGGGATTGGGACACGTGATCATCTTGGCACATGGCGTCTTGTGGGATCGGGGCACGTGTCCCACCAGCACCATTCCAGCATCCCCAGCTCCGGAGCCGGGGCTGAGCCCCTCCTGCTCCCAGTGTGGTGGGCACGGTGGGACTGGGAATGCTGGACTGAGTGGGAAGGGGGCCGAGGGGCTGCGGGACTTCAACCCTTCCTGTGAAAGAGAGGGGAACAGGGAGTGAGTCCCCCCACGGCACCGGGTGCTGCTCCCCTGGGCACAGCGGTGGCAATGGCACATGGTAGGGCACGTGCTGTGCCAGTGAAACCCCCATTCCCGGGCTGTGTCCCCTGCCCAGGCTGTGTCCCCCTCCCCGGGCTGTGTCCCTCTCTCTGGGCTGTACCCCCTCCCCAGGCTGTGTCCCCCTCCCCGGGCTGTGTCCCCCTCCCTGGACTGTCCCACTTCCCGGGCTGTTTCCCTCCCTGGATATCCTCCCTCCGCGGGCTGTCCCCACTGCCCGGGTTGTTCCCTCTGCCCTCCCCGTGCGCCCACAGGAGTACCGGGACGGGGGGCACCTTCTCCCGGTCGCTCGGTCCCTCCCCCGCCGCCGCAGCGCCTCCACCTCCGCCGCGTAATCCCGTCTGCAGGGAGAACGGGCCACGTGTGGGGGTCCCCCTGTCCCGGGGTGGGGGGACGGGGGTCCCCGTGGGGAGAGGATGGGCAGGGCAGGGTGTCACAGGGGCTGGGGGGGGTGGTGGTGGATGCTTTAGGGGTGCCCGCGCCGTGGAGGGGGACAAGGACCTTACAGGGTGTCCTGGAGCTCTCTCTGGCGGCTCTCGCAGCGTTCCCCGCGCTCCCGCAGCGCCCGCTGCTGCTCCAGCGCCTCCTCCAGCCGCCGCCGCAGCCCCCGCGCCAGCCCCGCGCCCCGCGCCACCTCCTCTGGGGGACAGCGGGGACAGCGGGGTCACCCCGAACCCCCACACCCCAAAACCACAGTGCCCCGCGCCGGGCACTGCCCCAAACCACGCTGGGGGACCCCCTGGGTGGGCTCCTCGTGGGGGGCGATGGGGGACCTGTGCTCCAAGCAGGGGACAGAGCTCACCTTGCAGGGCCACCTTGTCCCCGGCCAGCTCCGCCCTCTCGCGCCGCAGGGCCACCACCTCGTCCCCCAGCGCTGTGACATTGGCCTCCAGCCTGGCCTGGGGACAGGGGACACGTGGGGACAGCGGTGGGCACTGTCCCCCCTGCTCTTCGATGGCTGCCAGAGCCGTTTTCCTCCTCCTCCTCCTCACTGAGCCCCCCTGTCCCCAAGCTGTCCCCATGCTCCTGGTGGCCTTAGGTCCCCCCTCCATTTTATTCCTCGAAGGGGTAAGGACATGTATTTCATGGATTTGGGGAACATCCCCCTTCCCCAGTGGGATGCTCAGCCTGGCTGGGCTGGGGGTTGCCACAGGAGCCACGGGTCACCCAAGTGTGCCATGGGTGCCATCCCCAGTGCCAGGGAGGGGATGGGGCTGCCCAGGGCCCAGGGCACAGCCCTGCCCTGCTCCCGGCGCCAGCCCTGGGAAGCAGCAGCATTTTTCCAGCCTCTCAGGGCCATTGTTCAGCCGGATGAGCCCAAGAGGGGTGGTGGGACCTGGCTCTTCCTCCGGGCTGTGGCCACGGCGCTGGGGCCAGGCCCTTTCCCAGCTGGAGCCACAGCTAAAAATACCCGGGAGGGGAGAACTGGGAGCCCAACGCCTGCTCCGGCCTCCGCTGCTGCTTCGGGATGGGGTAATTACACGTGTGGAGCAGCCTGGGCACAGCCAGGAACAGCCAGGAATAGCTGACCCCAGCGGGCACCCGGCAGCGGGGCAGCAGGATTGGAGCCCCACCGAGGCACCGGGAGCATCCAGCGCTCCCTTTTTGGGGTGTCCATGCAGGAATGGGGCTGTGTAACCCCAGCTCATCATCCCAGTCATCTGCAGCATCCTTCCTGGGGTGCTGGAGCTTCGCACAAGCCTGGCTGGAGTTCCCCCAGGGATGAAGCATCACCTTGGTCCAGGGATGAAGCATCACCCCGGTCGAGCTGAGGGGGGCGGGCAAGGGGTCCCCATCCCTGTCCCATGAGTCAGAGTCCCCCAGAACCCCCCTCGTCCCCATCTCCCCCCCCTCCTGGCACCTACCACCCGCTCCCGGCAGGACACCAGGCTGGCATTGCCCCTCCTGCCGTCCCCGCGTGCCCGGGCGAGCTCCCTCCTCAGCGCCTCCTCCTCCCGCTGCAGCCGCGCTCGCTCCCGCTCCAGCTCCACCACGCGCTCCCCGAGCTCCCGGCTCTCGTTGGCCGCCCGCTCCCGGCACCCCCGCAGCTTCCCCACGGCCTCGGAGCGCCAAACCATCACCGCCACCGCCACCGTCACCGCCGCCACCAGCACCAGCAGCGCCGCGCACAGCGCCAGCACCTTCAGCGTGGCCCTGGGCACCGCGGGGTCCATGCCGGGGGAAACACGGGCACACGGAGCCGCTCCCGAGGCGCCTGCCTGGGGATGTGCCGGTGTCGCTCCCGTAATTGCCGCGTGTGGGATTTTTTTTTTCCCACCGAACACCCTTTTGGGCTGCGGTTTGGCCGCAGGTCACGGCCCAGAATAGACTCTGTTTGGGCTGGGAGAGGGGACAAGGCTCTGTCCCAGCTGGGGGGGTGAGCTGGGACGCTCCTGGGGGGCCGGTGGGATGCTGAGGTTCCCGCCTGACCCCACAGGATGGGGGGTTTGGATCGCAGGCAGACGCAGCGGCAACAAACAGCTGCATTTTCAAGGGGTTTATTGGAAGGCGGTTACAAAGTGCTGAGCTGTGGGGTAACTACGGATCAGAAACTCAGGGCAGCCTTGTCGTGCCTCTGTCCCCTCCCTCACCCTGGGAGCAGTACCTGGTGGCTGGACAGGAACCATCACCCCGGGATGCCCCCACGGTGGATTTGGGCAGAGCCAGTGGTGCCAGGGCAGGGCTGAGCAGGGGACAGGGGCGAGGGGGCTCCCACCCCCAGAGCCCACCAGGCTGCATGGGCATGGTCCCTCCTCACCCCACACCAGGGGACAGGGAATCACCGGGCCTGCGTTCCTGCTGCTCCAGGTCACTTTTTGAGGAACAGCCAAAGGAGGAAGATAAGGAGACACAGGAAGTTGGAGAACTTGTTTAAGCTGCTGTTGTCAGAGGTCTGCGGGCTCCTCGTGTCCCCGAGCTGGTTCTGCAGGGCCTGGTTCTGCAGCTGGAGCTCCTCCCTGTCGAGGATGGGGACAGTGGGTGACAGAGTGGGGGGCTGGGGGCGGTGAGGGGGGTGGGGGGGCTCACCTGCGGCTCTGCTCCTGCTCCAGCTGCTCCTGCTGCCAGGAAAGCTCCATCCTCAGCTCCCTGTTCTCCTCTGAGGGGAGAGGACAGCAGGGGGGTCAGGGGTCAGGGATCAATCGGGGTCACCCAGGGGACAAGGGTCACCCAGGGAGGGGAGACAGGATGACACAGGGGACTGTGATCAGGGTGACCTGGGGGATGAGGATTTAGGGTGTGCTGGGGGACAGGGATGAGGGTGGGCCCAAGGGTGTGGATCAGTGTCCCAGGGCATGAAGGTGACCCAAGAACAGGGACCAGGGTGTCCTAGGGCACAAGGGACCAGGTTGTATTCAGGGACAAGGACCAGGAACACAGGGGACAGGGCTCAGGGTGTCCCAGGTGCTGCTGCCCCCCCTTCCCACGCAGGACTCACCCTCCAGCCGCGTTAGTTCAGCCAGGGCCTGCTCCAGCTCCGAGGCTTTCCCCTCCAGCGCTCCCTGGGCAGGGACAGAGGGAATGGCTGGAGTTCCCAGCTCAGGATCCCCCCCCCCCATCAGAAGGTGTGGGGGTCCCAGGCCCCTCTCCCCCCACCAGCACCCCAGCACCCACCAGCTCCTTCCTGCAGCCGTCCCACTGCTCACGGGCCTCGGTGAGGGACCTGTTGGTGACATCCAGCGCCTCCTCCAGCCATGCCAGCCCCTCCGAGGCACCCCTGGCCCCCGCGGAGCCCCCTCCCCAGCGGCACAGCAGGGTGGGCACAGTCACTGCCAGCATCACCAAGGCCACCCCGAGGGTCGCAGCCGCCACCGCCTTCCAGGGGCGCCTGGCCGGGGGTGGGGGATGCGGACGGGAGATCTCCATCCTGCTCTGTCCAGGGCAAAAAACCACCCGGAGCCGGCGGGGACCTTGAGCTCCGCCCCCAAATACAGCAGTTTCGTTTCCCAAACAGGGGGACTTTTCCAGGAAACCACGTGCTTCCCGACCCTGCGGCTCGGAGGGAATGGGTGACCCCGGGCTGGGGCTGCGCTCTGCCCGCACCGGGGGCTGCTCCGGCCGCGGGGGGACCCCCAGACCCGCGTCCCGGGGAGGGGGCGGCACAGCTGGGGGGGCTGCGGGTGCCGGTGCCACCCCCTGGAGCTGCCGGGAGGGGAGGTGTCCATGGAGGTGGGGAGGGGGGGGTCACAGGGGCATCCCTTGGGGTGGGGAGGGACGTGGGGGTGTAAATAGGGTGGATGGGGTTTGGGGGATTAGGGTCACGGGGTAATAGGGGGTATGGGTTGCCTGGGATGGGGATGATTAGGGATACAGGACCCTGGCATAGGCAACCCCACCCCAGGGATGCTCCGGCCTCATCCCGGCTCTCCGAGCCAGCAACCACCGCCTCACCTTCCCCCCTCACCCCCCCGCGGCTCCCGAAATAGCTGCTCCACTTTTAGGAGTTTTTATTCTCCTGCTTCATGTGATAGAAAAGAGCAATGCCTGCGAAATGAGAAACACACCAAATATTTACCAAAACTTCCAGGATTTTTTCTTTTTTTTTTCCTTTCCTTTTTTTTTTTTTTTTTTTTTATTCTTCTCTTTTTGAGGCGGATTTTCGACATCTGGGGAATGAAAAGGCTCTGGCAGGTTCAGTGAACTGTCAGCGAAAAGGCTTTAAAGATGTTGTTATTATTATTTATGGGCTGGAGCCTGAGGAGGAACCGAGGCCAAAGGGTTCAAAAATAGCTTAAAAACCGGGAAGGGATGTTTTTTTCCAGAGCCGGCTCGTTTTTTGAACGGCGATATTGAGGTGCAAAGGGTTCAAAAATATATTGAAAAAGCAACTGGGAGAGGAATGTGCAGCAGCGAGGGCTGTCCCGCAGCCGGCGCACTGGAGCGTTCCCGTGGCATCCCGCCTCGGGATCGCTGCGGAAAACAAGTGTTAGTGCTCCGGGCAGCCCCTCTCCTGCTTCCCGCTGTTCCCCCCGCTCCCAGCTCCCAGCTGCTGACAGCCCCGTTCCCAGGGGACACGCAGCGATGCCCCTGCTGTCCCCACTCCTGCAGGGTTGGGGTCCCCTCGCCCAGGGTTTGTCCGTGTTTGGGGACGGTGTTTTTTTCCTGCTCCGGCAGGTTGTCCAGAGGGAATGCCGGGAGCGGAGCGGCGTCTCTTGGCCAGACGGCCTGGAATTCGGCAGCTGGATCGCGGCAGAGACGGGGAGCTGGCACCTCCCGTGTCCCCCCGTGACTGGATGTGCAGGGATGCTCCGAATTGCCCGGGGATGCTCCAGTTTGGGGGCCCTGGGGATGCTCTGGATGCCAGGGGATGCTCTGCTTTGGGCTGCCCAGGGATGCCTGAGTCTGGGGTCCTCGCAGGTGTTCCAATCTGGGGGTCCCCAGGGATGCTCTGGTTTGAGATTCCCAGGGATGCTCTGGTTTGGGGTCCCTGGGGATGCTCTGGATACCAGGGGGATGCTCTGGTTTAAGGTCTCCTGGGATGTTCCAGTTTGGGGCTCCCTGGGGATGCTCTGGATGCCCAGGGATGCTCCACTTTGGGATCCCAAGGGATTCCCTGGTTTGGGGTCCCCAGGGATGCTCCAGTTCTGGATGTGGGATGGATGAGCCCCCTCTGCACCCCCGAGGCTGGAGCCCTGGGCAGGATGAGGCCCCTGAGCAGGAGCTGCTGCACTGGAAGAGGAGCAGAATGGGGAGGGGACTCATGGGGCACATTTTGGGGATCAGCAGCTCCACCACCCCCCCTCAGCCCCCACCCCATGGCTTGGCCCTGGCAGATGGTGGGGTACAGTCCCCCCAGACCCCTCAGAGGGACTGAGAGGGGGGTCCAGGGCTGGCTCAGCTCCTCTGCTTTTCCCTTTCATCCTCGGCCTGTGCCTGTTCCCTCTCAGCCTGAAACGTGGGTTTTTCTCCTATTTTGGGTCGGCTTTTCAGCTGCTTCCTTTTATTATTTTAATTTAGGCACTGTCATTATATTTTCCATTATTTCAAAGAAAAAAAAAAAAAAAAAAGAAAGGGAAGCAGTCGAGCAGCTTCCCAAGGTGCTTTCCAGCCCCGAGCAGCTTTTGTTCCCAGCCTGAGCCAGGACGTGCTCGTGGGGCACAGCGTGGTGGAACCCCCTGTCCTTGGATCCCACCTCCCCGGGGGGGGCCAGAGGGGGTGGTTTGGGGGATGCAGGGATGCTGTTGGAGGGGGGAATATCCAAACAGGAGCCCCATCCCTGCTGCGGGGGCCGATGTGCCGGCACATCCCCTTCCCGCTGCCGTTGGGCTCCGGCCATCCCTAATTGCCGGGGCGGGCCGGGAGCTGCCGGCTCTGGGCTCCTGTTCCCTTCCCTGCTCTGCTATTCCCTTTTGGCAGGGGGGTAACAAGAAGCAGCTGAGCCTCCCCCACCTGCTTTCCCCTTCACCACAGGGACCCCAGTCCTCGTGGTGCCCCCTCTGCTGCATCCCGTGCTCCCGCCACCCAGGAACATTCCTGGCGCGTTTCCATCCCTGTCCCTGCTTCCAGGGCAGCGTCAGAGCTGGATGGACCCCCCTCACACACACCCCATGATGCTGAATCCACAACTCGGTCACCTCCAGGGGTATCCCCCTCTGGAGCTGCTGTGGGTCCCACAGATCCGTGTGGCAGCCCTTTCTGCTCAGGATTTGGGAATTAGAGGCCGAAGGATCCCGGCTGGCAGCCAGGGATGCTCAGCACGACCTGGAAGCCGGGAGGGGCCTGGGGGTTATTTTGGAACCCGTGGCACACAGGTGGGGTGTGGGCCTGCCTGGTGGTGGTGGGAGGCATTTGGGATCAGCACCAGGGGGCTCCTTATCCAGAGCTGGGAAGGTGCAGGACCCTCGGGATTGGGGATTAGAGCCCCACACCTGAGGGGAGCAGCAGGAGGGTTTTGGGAACAGCAGGAGGGTTTTGGCTGCAGCCCCCAGCCCAGCCCCTGACCCTGGGCAGGTTTCCAGCCCTCGGGAATGCGGGGCTGGGCTGGACACCCAGCACGGACCTCCCGCAGCCCTGGCACGTCCCTGCCTGTGTGCCCCTGGCCCCTTCTCCGTGTCCCTGGGATTGGGGGAGTCCTTGGCCACCCCTCTGCTCCCCCCCTGCACCCACCCCTGCCCATCCCAGAGCGTGGAGAACCCCAGGGCACGGCCTGCACTGGGGTGGGATCCAGGAGGTCCCA